CCCGCCCCCCGTGGGCCCGCCCCTCCCCCCCCCGGCCCCAGCCGTGCAGGCAGCGGCCCATGGGGCAGCCCCAGCGCCACACGCGCTGCAGGAGCAGAGGCAGCAGACTTTCGCCGTGCCGCGGCCACCTCACCCGCCCATGCACATGCCAAAGATGATGTCTGACAACCAATACCCTGCAGAGCACAGGTAAGGCTTCCCCAACCCAAGCAAGTGCTGGCGTCTTGCAGGTGTTTATGGGAGCTTCAGCCCTCATGAGGTGGATTGGTGACTTCAAAGCATGGGGAAGGAGGAAAGATGCCCATCCCCATGTTGTGGTTGCAGACTGTAAGGCCAAATGTTGCTGCCTGGGGTTCAGTGTAAACTAGTGCTTGCTGCTTCCCACTGGGATCTTGTCTCTCTCTCCCCATAAGGCAGTTCTGTGCTAACTGGGATCTGTTCTTCCCAGCTCTGGGGATGCTGGGCAGACCCTTTGCCTCCCCTCTGGGAGAGGTGAGGGAGGCAGATGCTGCTGCCTGCATCCATCCCTGTGGCAATAGGCAATGGTGCTGAGTCAGGGCTCTTGCTCTTCTCTCTCCCACCCACTGCAGCTCTCTGCTGAGCCGAGCCTTGCTAGGCTGGGGAGCTGCAAATCCCCATCCTGCCCCTGAAGATCCTTGGGCTGAGGGTCAGTCCTTAGCTCCCCTGTTCATTGCACAGGACCCCTGTGATTTTGGGGCTGTGAAGGGAGAGGCCCCGCTTCCTCTCCAATGGCCTTGTCACCCATTACCTCTTCATCCCTGGAGGCTTTGTTGGTCCCCTCCCTCACCCTGGCTTTGCTTGCAGTGTTGGTAGGTGGCATGGTGCAGGTCACAGCTGACCTCTAGCTTTGCTTGTGGCGTCCTGGATGCCCTTTGCTACGATGTCACTGGTGGTGGGGTGTCACCTATCGGCATGGGACTGGAATGTGGTAGCCTGGAAAAGGCCATGGAAACGCTCAGTACGTGCCCAGAGCGGGTGAGCATCCCTGCCCAGGCAAAGCGGGGCTTGGATCTGGGTGACCTTCAAGCTATGTGGGGGGCTGGGTGCAACCCCTTGGGAAGCGCCATGCCAGCGCAGGGTTTGGGTTTCACTCAGGAAGGGCAGAGGGACACCACTCGGAAATGGAGTAATCCCAGTCCAGCAGCTGGGAGGGCTCTGGTTACAAAGGCAAATGGCGTAAGGCCAGCGGAGAGGAGCTGGGTGCGGAGATCAGAGATCGCCTTTCAAGGTGCCGGAGGATGAGGGGATGTGGCAGCACCCCCTCGAGATGGTCCCTTATCCAGGGACGGTGCTGGAGCTCAAGCTGGCAGCGGCAGCACCCTGGAGCTGAAAATAGTGCTCCCTGCCAGCAAGTCCAAGGTTTAATCCCAGCCGCACAGGCGGATTAGAGCTGCGAAGTGGATTTGGCTTTGCGTAAGTGCCCGCCCAGGTGCAGCATCCTCTGGGCCCTGCAGTTTTTACACCCCCACCCCCCCTGGGGGGAGTGAGGGGCAGTTTACTGGTTTACAGAGATTTTACTTTGTAGGGTGGCTTCTTGTTTCCTTTTCCCACCCCTATCCAGACATCCTGGCTGCAGCAGCAGGCTTCCGTCACCTAGTGCTTTGCAGTGGTGGCCCACATGCTGTCCTCTTCCTCCAGTGGGGAGGTCCCTAGCACTTGGAGGGGAATGGGGCTCTCCAGTACCCCACTGGGTCCCTACAGGATGAGCCCTCATGATGGCTGTGCTCACAAGGATCCTCATGAGGAACAGCGGGTGGGACACAAT